CAATTATGATGCAAAGATTAGTAGATTATACAAAAGTTCTTCGTTGCGTTCTGTTATTATTGCCCGTAACACATACCAATTGTGTGATTTATAAAAAGAACAAACCAGAATGTAGTGTATATAATAATATGGTCTCACACTCACTTTATTGAATGTTAGTGCTTTAACCTATCACCAATACCGTACGGATAAATATGGAAGCGGACTGCTTAGGCCATGGCGGTCATGGGCAACCCCAGGTGAATGAATACAGCATTCCATCCGATAGAAGAAACTACTCGATGAAATGCATTTCCTCTATCGGAAATGGAACGCATATCTTGTTAGAGCAACGGTTAAAAAGTCTAGCCATTAGACTAAAAAGGCCTGCTAGCCTGTTTTGTGGAAAATTGTTGTTTGTTTGTTAATGGCATCGGTGAGGAACATCACGGGAGTTTAGAAGTAAAGTACTGAGTCTCCAAATTTCAGTTTACCAGTTTGAATAAAGCTGTACAAATCAAACCAATTCAGTTCCGTAGATATAATAAAATTTGAAAAGTTCGGATTCTGAAAACCATACCATTTAATGACTCATAAAAAAAACCAAACTTATCACGCTATAAATAGATAAAAATGATCCTGTCTGCGGTAAAAGCATAATGTTTTTAATTAATGTGCTTTCTTTAAAAAGGGTGTCAGATTTCCTGACTGTATCATGCAAAAATTGTGCACGACCTACTGAATGTAACAATTCTCTCTCCCCCCCCCCCCCTCTCTCTCTCTCTCTCTCTCTCTCTCTCTCTCTCTCTCTCTCTCTCTCTCTCTCTCTCTCTCTCTCTCTCTCTCTCTCTCTCTCTCTCACGCACACACACATATCGCACGCTCACAAACTTTCTCTCTTTCTCATTATGTCCCTCTCTCTATCTCTAATCAATCCCATGCCCCCATCCCCCTCCTCTATCTCTCTAAAATTCTCTATCTTTCTATCTATCTATCTATCTATCTATCTATCTATCTATCTATCTATCTATCTATCTGTCTATCTATCTATCTATCTATCTATCTATCTGTCTCTCCTTCTTTTCCTCCTCTCCATATCAGTCTTGTTGTTTAGAAAGAGGAGACATTCGAATACAAATAATTATATTCCTCATCTTGCACATATTTTCCAGTGTGAAAGAGTTATAATATGTCTTGGGGTCTAACGTCTTCCTAAAGGGAAAAAAGAGTCTACGCCTTTTAATGATCTCCTGGGGGAAATTCAACTTACAAAGGAACGTTTCTCTAATCTTATTGCGCAGAATATCGGACTCAGCAAATTATTTCAAACGCAAACGCATAATTTCTCTTTATTTCGTAGCCCTAAGGAATACAAACTTCAGCATAAATATTGGTTTTTCGATTATGAGTTATGTTTCTGAAATCGACGATCTTTAAAGAATTGTTGTATCTGCTGATGTTGGTTCGATATCCATGCGACACAGGAAAACATCACGTGGGAATGAATGTAAATTAAACGCTGATTACTGGGCGCGTAAATAAATGGATTTTTGAATATTCCTGTCTTTGGTGAGTGGGCGAGGGACTGAAAGGATGGATTATTAAGACCACGATTGCACTTGCATGTGTGAATTGATCAGACAGTTTTTGCATGGAAGAATGCGCCTAAAAGAGTTGATGTTAGAGCAAGAGAAGGGGGAGAGACTTCGGAGATAAGTGAATGAGTGAGTGCGTGAGTGAGTGAGTGCGTTCGTGCGTGCGTGAGTGAGTGAGTGAGTGAGTGAGTGAGTGAGTGAGTGAGTGAGTGAGTGAGTGTGTGAACGAAGTAATGATTAAGTTGGTGAGAGATTGAAAAGGCCTCTGACAGAATGGAATGTCAAGCAACCCAGATTAGTTGGGGGTTTAAATATATGTAAATATTCACAGGTTCAGATGTAGCATGGACTTAGGTTCATAGACAGCTGGAAAGAACAAAGGCGAGAGAGCTGTGGTTCATAAGATGCAAGCTGTGTATCTAATGGACAGCTAGACAAACAAATGAAGAAGTTTTGGTTGAAGCAAATAGCAGACGACAGCTTATTACGAATATACGAAAGCGACAGGCAAACATCTTTAGACCCACAATGCGGAAAGAAAGATTGGAGAATATCGTAACAACAGGCAACTTTGATGAAAAGAGAGGCAGAGTGAAAAGATAGTGGACAGGTTGACAACATGACTGGGAACAGCAAAATCGACAGGCACCATCGCTGCAACGCAAGACAGAGTGAAGCGGAGGTCCATGATCGCCCACGCCAGTCGGCAAGGCACCAGATGATGATGAGATGTTTACCGCTCTATTAACTCAATGATATAGATGATACAGGAGACGGGCTTCCTACCCCATCTGCCAGGACCGACCTAGGCTGAGAAGGATACAACTCCGCAGCAGGAAGACAGTGATACTAGATAAAAGTTTCTCCCCACTCGGGAATCAAACTCGGGTCTCCTACGTGCGGCAGCAAAATTCCCAATTGGCACACCACAGACATCGATCAGAATCGTGTGATACTGTAAGGATGACTGGGGTGGGGGGGGGGGGGGGTGGGGGGGTGGGGTGTGAGTGAGTACGATTTCTGCAACAAGGATGGCCTCTTTCATGTCATTTGTATTTCATCTCCCTTCGCCATGCATCATACCGTTATCGGACACGATGTGCATGGCTGAGATGGACTAGTGCCAATACGCCCAGTCATTCAGAAATGTTGGTCTTTAAAAATGGATCGACCGAGGAGGTAGCTCAGATTTATACCGACGAATGAACAATTTCAGGGATAAATACTCTGTAACAATAATCAGCTAATACACACTTTCATACAGCGATAGGACATCGGATCGATTCTCTTACGCTAATTACAAGCTTCCTTCCTGATAATTCCTTGTTTCATATCCTCAGATCCCCTTACGCTTCACGATCGGTTAAATATCAAAGGACAAACCAGGACGTTGGGCACCCGTTGTTACTTTTCAAACAGAAAAAAAGACGTCTAAGATTTTGCATTTCTTTTGATTTCCTTAGTAATGATTGTTCACTGCAAAATGCACCCAGTCTTTATAGGCTTCTCCTGATGTTATTTTCTTTTACCTTGTGTATTTTTATTTGTTTGCATATGTTTGCTTATTGGTTTTGTGTTGCCGGCACATATATTTCGTTTTTATGTTTCTAATATTTTACTTTGTGCAGTTATTTACTTAAATCTTATAAGTGAGATGCAAACGTTACCTCAAGGAGGACGTTTTAATGTAAGTTGTGTGCGTGTGCATGGGCGTGTGTGTATGTGTGTGTGTGTGTGTGTGTGTGTGTGTGTGTGTGTGTTTGTCTCTCTCTCTCTCTGTGTGTGAGTGTGTGTGTGTGTGTGTGTGTGTGCGCGTGTGTGTGTGTGTGTGTGTGTGTGTTTATGTGCGCGTGTGTGCCAGCAGGTAGTGCTTGTGTGTTTTGCGTGAATGTTTCAAAGAAAGAAAGGAAGAGAGAGAGAGAGAGAGAGAGAGAGAGAGAGAGAGAGAGAGAGAGAGAGAGAGAAAGAGAAAGGGTGGGGAGAGAGAGATAGATAGAGACAGAGAGTGAGAGAGAGAGAGAGGGAGTAGACCAAGGCGATATAGAAAGAGAGGGGGATAGAAAGTAACAGACGGAGAGAGAGAAAGAGAGAGAGAGAGAAAGAGACACCGAGAGAGAGAGAAAAAGAGAGAGAGAGAGAGACAGAGAGAGAGAGACAAAGAGAGGGAGAGAGAGAGAGAGAGGGGGGGGGGGCTGACTGACGGATTTACAAATGAACAAATAGGCATTGCGAACAAAGAGAAAAAAAAGAATAAATAAAGAAAAAACAGCAATGGTCTTGGTGGAGGCAGAGAAGAAAACCTTTTTAAATGTGTACTGGTTCAGTCTTTGAAGCTTTCAGTATTACTTTTTTTTCAAATTTATGAAAAAAAGAGTCTTCTCAACGGTTTTGTTGTTGTTGTTTTTTTGGTCCAAGCAGCAAATTGAAATATCAGCTGTCTTCAGCTACGAGAGCTTCTTTTATTAGATGATGAACAGGACCCGTATGGAGAACATCTTTGCTGAAGAGCCAGCGCTAGGGAAGATCAAACTTCATAGTACCCAATCCTCCGGCCGTGGCTATAATAAAACTTCTAAGGGTACTCCTTTGATAGTTCAGATGGTCCCTTTTAATTGTGTCAGGAGTTTAAAAAAAAAAAAATTCTTGAAACTAGAACTGGACTCTTTTAATGAATTTCACGGAGAGATATCAGTTGCATTTTAAAGGTATGCCGAATTTAGTGATGAAGTACTACGTAACGTATAATTTTGTTTGAAGTAAATTTCTCTGAATTTTCTTTCTTTCTTTTTTTAAATTAGTGAAGTATCCATTTGTTACTTCCCTCGGTTGGATTATTTCCATTTTTTTATCTCGTTGCTGGCGTATGTGGTATAATGGTTGGTCATTCGCCTAAGGGGCAAAGGACTTGCACTTGCAAGACAGATCCATCTTTTCATAGGGATACAGTGTACAAACATTCCGATTGTAAACAATGTTTGTTTTTTTTACACGGCTAGAGCAGAATCCTAAAGGCTGCCTTCGAAAGAAACCAAACAAACCCAGTTCAAACATTCTTTTGAGCGTTCGAACCAAAGTGCCCGCACCGAGCGTGTTCCATTATATCACTCTAACAAACAGATGGTGCGCCCACATACCCGTATCACGGTAGTTGTTAAAATAACCTCAAGGTCGATTGAATCTTCAAGGACAAACAGGGCACATATGTTCGACCAGCAGAAGACTAAAGACAATGTTGCGGCACAGTTCGAAACAGAAAACTTAAATTTGTATATTTCATAGTATGCTTACTATTGCCCTCGATTTTAAAGTCTTTCTGTCAAGTGTAAAGAAAACAGAATGGCAAAATCGGTATGAACAACAAGACTATGCATCTTTTGAAACAGCACGACCTCAATAAGCTGATGGTCTCATTATTTTCATTCCCAGGTCTGCTCGGATGACGAGGTCTCGGACAAGAAACGCTTTCCATCTTTCGCCCGGACCTTCCCACCTGCCGTCCAAATCACCAAGTCGGTGGTGTCCATGCTCAGACATTTCAACTGGACCAAGTTCTCCATCATCTATGGCAAGACTGACAGGTGAGTTGTTTCAGTACCCTCCACAGAAGTGGAGAAATGGACAGAAGGGTAGTAGCAAAAAAAAATACGTCAGCTGAAACAAAATAAGATAAAGACCACTTTCATTGATCCCCGTGAGTAAATACATGTATGTTCGTACAATGCATGTATGTTCGCACAATGCAGATATACATTTGATCTAAAAATACAACCTGAGCATACGTATACAGTATCACTACACAGAAAACGTAAACACGAAATTACTGATAGCCACAGTTCTGTACCCTTTTTTTTCAAAATGAAGAGTTAAAATGTCTTGCTGAAGATTACATCCCAGTAATCATCTATCTAAACCCCTCGTCAATGACTCTACTTGACAGTAATTTTGTATCAGAAATCTAGCAGAAATCGTTGACATAAAAAGAAAACGACTTGCTATAATAATATAAGATTTTGCTAATGGGAAAAGAAAACCGGGTTGTTGTTCTATAAATTACAGAAACATTGGTGTAAAAGTAAGACTCCTTACCGTTGCTCGCAAATGACGTGAGCCTTATTCCCAGCAAAGGAGGTTTGTTTTGTCTAACATATTACTGTATCTGTCTTCATGGATGTTGTATCCCCCTAAGCCCATAATGGTCCTGACAGGCAGATTTCAAGGTCACGAAATTGTGTCTTATGGAATGAATAAGTGAAACAGAACTGCACAATCAGAGACATATTAAGATAACTTCCCATCTCTGTGGTTTTATCTAAGTTCTTAGGCCAGCACATGGCACAGGCAGGTAAATATTTACGTTGGCTCTAGTCCTATGAGAGTGGATCATTTCTGGTATGTTTGCATTATGATATTTTTATCAGGGTCCCTCAAAAACCGGAACGCTTTATTTTATTTATGCATTTCGAATCAGAAAAGTTCTTGTTGTCTCGTATTTATTGCAAGATTATAAAGGATGCTTTTTAATTTTCCTTTTACTTATTCATTAGAAGTTTGAAACTATATTTTATGCTCTCCCCAAAAGCAAGTAATCTTAGCATGCCAATGCATGCCAGCTTCGAACCTTATTTTTCCACACATGTAAAACCCACAATATTCACACTAAATAAACAGCAGGTCTTCTACTTTTTTTTTACTCTTCAAAGGTTCATGGACATCAAATAGTTTTGATTTTGTTTATACCGTTTCGTTTTCAAACGCATTTCGGGGTAATCAATCGTTCAACTTATAGTACGCAGCATGTGATCTTTACACTTTTTTGTTGTTGACCGAGCACTGCAAGTTTACCAGCGTCTGCAGTGGGATTGTTAGGCCCTTCCCCACTGCATGTAGAAAACGAGAGTTCAGTTTCCGGGAGGGGAGGCGTTTTTTTTCCGAATATCTCCGTCTGTTAGTTGAGTGCTCCGTTCGCTCAGTTAGTGTCATGCTGGACTACAGAGCGAATGACCCTGGTTCAAATCCTAAACTGGTTGTTCATGAGCTCTGGTCTTTTTGTGATATTGTCAATGCTCATAACCAATTATTTGACTCAGTTTCGCCAGAGACCGATGTTAAATTCGGAGGTGCCGCCTCATAAATAACCTGAAAGTGTTGAAAGAGGTGTAAAACCCATACACTCACTGTCCGTCAGTCTACTGTGATGCTGTATCACATTAAGCTCGGGTTAGCCCTGGCCGGCAAGGATGAGGCGGCCCGCCCTCTATATCATCTAAAATGTGTGCCAATTGGGAAGCTGTTGTAGTATAGATTTACCACCCATTCTTAATACTGTAAGATTACTTAAACGGCGGAACGTCCAGTCTGAACACCAATCTCCCATAGGGCCGAGCCATAAAAACTCCCCAAAACAAGTTCAGAGCGCCTTGCCTTGTTGGGGATTCGAACCGAGGTCATCCGCTTTGTAGTCCAGCATGACACCAACTGAGCTTTCTGTACCCCCCCCCC